TCCAGCAAATTCATCATTACTTTTGCCAAACATTCCCCCTTAATTTGAAAACCTATGTGTATTTTCAAGAAAACACAAGTCTTTTGTTTTGGATTCATAACATCTAACTCATCAACATGCTTTGCCCTAATAGAAGTACTGATGCCTGCAGGGCTCTCACTATTATATATGTTTATGGCACCACACAGACATTGCCTTACTTAATCCTCCCCACACAGGTCCTGCAGTAGGTGTAATTACCACCTTGCTAGACAGCTGTGGAAAGTGGGACCTTGAGAAGTTCTTTGCCCATGCTTACAAGGCTAGGCCTTGGCACTGTCAGAACTCCACCCAAGCTTTCCCCCAACTTCGTTTTTGCTCCTAAACAAAACCCTAAGTGTCAAATCCATTGTACCTGAAAGTCCCTTCCATCCATCTGTCATATGCCAGGAAATGGATGGTAAGGGAAAAGGGGCTAAAACATCTAAAGGGGCAAGAAACATAAAAATTCATAATCATGGTGGAGAACAGCAATGAATTTCAAGCTTTCAACAAAACTCAAAGCCACCTTACCCTCAGCGAGGAGACAAACAGACATCACATAGATTAACACCAATGTAATAGACAGTTTGAAAGCATACCCCTAGGCCAAGAGGTAACTAAAAGAAAAAAAAATGTATAAACAAGCAACAGCAACAACAAAAACAAAGAACTACGTAGTCCTTAGGTATTTGCAGACCACAACATTTTCCCTTTACAAATCTCAAAGCTCTTCTTTTTGAAAGAATCCAAGTGGGCTGGCAGAGTGGCTCAGGTGGTAGAGAGCTTGCCTAACAAGCATGAGACCCTGAGTTAAACCCCAGTACCACCAAAAAAAAAAAAAAAAAATTGCTGGGCGCCAGTGGCTCATGCCTGTAATCCTCGATACTCAGGAGGCAGAGATCAGGAAGATTGAGGTTAGAAGCCAGTCCAGGCAAATAGTTCATGAGACCCTATCTCAAACCTAACACAAAAAGGGCTGGTGGAGTGGCTCAAGGTGTGGGGCTTTCAAAGTAAACAAGGAATTCCTCTCCATTATTAATCTACCAACTTTGGTTTTACATTGCATCACCATTAGAACAGTAAATTCTTCCTCCTATCACCTAAAGGTATGTCCCCAATAACGATCAGATCTGATAAAAAAAAAAAAATCCTCAAAAGCACAGTCTATATCATGAGTTTCTTTTTTAAAGCAGAGTAGCAGGTTAATAAGAACTGTCAGATAACTACTTTAAAAAAAAAATCACAGGCCAAAAATGAACACTTCAAATTGAAGAATCAGTATTTGTAAGTCATGGAGAGAAATTATTTTATAGAGTAATGAGAATGTGTTAAACTCTGGAAGACCTAGATTTAAAACACTTCTTATTTAGAAAACATAACATGTAATTTAGTAAGTAATGAATCATACCAGAAACACAGATCATTAAGGTATTTAACTTAAAAGTCTTAGCATATTAATAGACTTGTACATTCTTAAGTCAACACAACACCCAATATCTGAATGTTCACTTTTTATGTGTGAGCTACCATGGTAGGTGTCAAAAACTACCAGTTAAATCTCAGTTGCACTTAAAAATTATGCAGAAACCTAAATGTCATCTCTTTTGTCATTTCAGTTTCATAAATAGCACCAAAGCTTAAAATTAAACCATGCACACATAAAACGAATGCTCACAACGCAGCTCCTGTGTAAAGACTACTAAAGGCTTAATGTGTACAAAGAGTTTATAAAATGTTACAAAATAAAATTTGGCTTATTTTTTTGCCCACGTAAGATCTAGAGCAGAGTTTTTCACTCCTGTTATTTTAAATTTCAGTCTTATGTAGCAAATGCTTATTTACAATACTGTTCATGGTTTTTGAACCATACATTTTTGCTGTGCATGTGTGTGTGTTTAAACAAAACTATATATGAATGTTATTCTAGAATAGATACTCAGCTGAAGAAAACAGACCTGTAAGGACACGCCGTGGAATGTGCGTGGTTTGGCTGGAAGGCTCACAATCAAGAACAAATTATACCACATAATGGCTGGAAAAGTTAATTAAGTCAACTTAACCAATAACTTTGCCAATAACAAAACTTTTTTATTTGTTCCATTTTAATCATTGTGAAATGGTGGGTGGGAGAAAAAAAGACATATGTTGCATTCATTTGGTTCTTGGTACTGAGCTAATTTTTTAATTGTCCAGTTACAAATCAAATGTCAGAGCTTTATAAAGAAAACACAGGCAGCTCCTGGAATCAGGAGCAATCCGTAGTGCTAACTGTTACAGCATCAATACTACTACCTGTTATAGCACCCAAATGGTTTTGTTTTTCTTTCTATAAATGGCCTCAGTGTGGGTATACAAGCATTTCTGGAATGTCTGTAGAAAGACAGAGAGACAGACAGACAGACAAATGAATGGATGACAGCCATAGCAATGGCAGCTACAAGCCAGCACACACCGCACACCAACCTTTGAAAGCCTACACCACATGAGCTCTACCCAAACAGGGTTAAAGCCATACTAGTCTATGTGACCAGGCCAGAACATGGAGGGAAGCATGCAACCAGGTAAGAAGCATGCAGGACACAGAGGCTGTGAAGTTCCAGCCATCCACACCCCTTTCCACAATCCTAGGAGTAAAGAGACTCTAACCTAGTAGCTGAAAAACGTAGAGTAAAGATCATTGAGATTTCCTTTCTTATTTCTTCTTGCCCATAAATGTATTTGCTTGTTTCCCTAAGATCCTCCTGTGAGGTTGAAATTCATGTTTTAAAACTACCATTTCCATTTTTCTTTTATTTAGTTGGATCTTTCTATTGTCTTAAAACAAAAAGCAGTAAATCCCTTAGAAAAAACAGGAATACTGAGAAAAAAAAAATGGCCAGAGCTCACAGGATTTCTGGGATAACTCTCAATCAGGCATGTCTTTGACACATGAGTTTGCCTCAAACAGGACAGGATATCTACACATTCAGGAGCAATGTAGGCATCAAGGGCCCAGGCCAACCAGGGCGGGAAGCCAGTGGAGTGTGGTTTAGGAAAGATGTTTGTGATTATTCCAAACTATAAGGCTTGCTTTCATAAATCACAACTGCTCCTTCTCTGACTAGTTTTTCCTTGAGGCCTTCCAGCCACCATGCAGCTGATTAGGATAATTGTGTTCCCAGTCATCCTCAATAGGTTGAGGATGACTCTGTGGTCAAAGAGAGGTTCTAGACAAATGGAGCAGCAGTGGGACCCTCCAGAGCATGTATGTGCCCTGATGTGGAAGCGGCAGAGCAGCAGCATCTTCCTAAGAGGGAACGTTGAGGTGACTGCTGGGATTCATGACCAGGACAGTGGCTTCTGCAGTACCTTCTACAGTCTGCATAGGTTCTTGCCTGTTCTTACACTCACACAGGTGCTTGTGCATATCAGACACTCATGCTTTCACCCTCACACACTCACACAAACTGTAACAATAACCAAAAATTGGTGTTTCATGAAACCTAATCCACAAACAAGTGCTCATTCCTATAAAATTACCACTTAAATTACCAAATAACCAGCACCCATATTATTGATTCTTCTCCTGAAATCATAAATTGGCCTAATTTTTTAAAATAAATTCCAGGAAAAAAAGGAAACATTCTTTTAAAGGAAACATATTGTTAAGGAAATACGGCTTCTATAACCACATCAGAGAAAAAGTGCAAAGTTCTGGCTCAATTACTGTAAATTCTGGTCACATTGGAAAAAGTAATGCAAATATTCTGGCTCAATGAGAAAAGCTCTGGTCCTGAGTTTAAATACCACATTTAATAAACAGAAATACAAATATATTTTCACATACATATATGTAAAGATTCATCATTTTAACTCAGACCTAACTGTATCTCCCTAGGGATTAATGCAATCCTGCACTCATTAGCCCACGGGTGTGACAGCCAACTGTCTCCTCTCCTGGCACAGCCAGCAGTGCTCACTCATGACCCAGGTGAAGGAGGGCAGAACAGAAGCCATGAATGGCCACAGAACATCAGCCATGCACCTCAGCAATGCTTGCCCTCAGATGTGAGGGTTCTGGGTTTCAGTTATCTTTCAAAGCAGATTTTGATGTTCCAACTACGCACTTAAAAAAATGTAAATCAACCACATAACGTCTTCTCAGAATAAATAAATTATAAGCCCATAGGGAGGGAAGTGCAGTTTGGCTCGTGTAAGTCAGGGAGCCCAGATATGAACCAGGATATCCAGGACCTGGGAGAGGCAGCCAGCTAACTTTTCCTAAGGGCACATGGAAAAGTGGAGTGAAATTCAGGGAAGCTAAGAATGGCTGTGAAATCTACAAAAAGTAAAGGCATTAATGGCTTACCTCATGGAAAAGTCTGGAAAGAAAACAAAGGTCACCACTAACCTATTCAGACTGTTTTTACCACAGGGGGTCTGGAATTTATTTTCAATACTCCATGGTTGAACTGAAATGCCTCTCAATACTTTGCTTAAAATTTAAAAACACAACATGTAGTGAAGGTGACTCTATGTTATCTTTGAAAACAGTTAAGTAAATTAAATCTGCACAAGCAAACAACAAAATCCATCTCAGTAACTTATGCTACCTTAAGGTTCAACTATTACATTTTGAAATCCTTTAGAGTACATGACTTAAAATTTGTGGGTGCAGGAAGACCCTACCACAAATTTCGACAATACAACTTTTGTGTCTTTTGTAATAATGAATTATTTCAACTAGTATAGACATTCCATGTGAAATGCAATGCATTCTGAACTCTTGCCAGACTAATCAAGATGATCTCCAAAATGCCAATGAGAAAATTTAGAAGAAAATGTGTAGGTTGAATGCCAAAACAGAGATTACTAAAGCCTGCTCATTCCACATCCCCACCCTACTCTCCACCCTCTTATAGATAAAGCAAACACTGGGTCCTAGTGCAAATGGTCAATCCACAAGAAATGCAGACATGACTGTGTGCTTGGCTACTCACCATTGGAAGTGGTGCTAGAGGCCACGGCCTTCTCGCTGACATCTGTTCGAGCAGAGCATCTCACGATGGAATTCTCAGCTTTCTTCTTCTCAGTGGTCGTGGAGCTGTGAGACTGGGCCTCCATGATGTCTTCTCATTACTTCAGTTCTCTTGAGGAGGAATGCCTGCAAAATACCACAGTGCCATCAGCTTCCCAAAAGGGTGAGAAAAAAACCTCAGCCAAAGACTGCTGCACCTGTCACCTGAGAAGCTAATGCCAAAATTCTAAAGCTTTAGCAAAAATTCAAAATCTGAGTGACCCTTCTCCACAGGTTTTCTGGCAAAAATGTCTCAAAGTTTTATTAACTGGCCAGTGAAATGCTATCCACACACATAAGAACAGTGGGAAATGACCAGAATGTGGAAATTTTCTCAAGTTCCTCCTGAGCATTTGTTATCATATCGTCAATTTTCAGCAATGTCTTTAGTGTCACCATTACTCTTTTAAGCCATGTGTACACATTTCTCTTCAGGTGGCCACCTTATGGGAAAGGACATTAAGACAGCTTTCAAGCCAGAGGAAGGTTTTAAATTATTATTAAGATATTTTAAAGAGCATCTGACAATTTCACATATCCAAGCCCTACTCAAAGTTCTAAATAATTTGAGCTAAGCAGTAGGGATTTTTGCTTCTTTCACTAAAATAGCTGAATTTCAATCTGCTTATTAATCCAAAATCATCCAGGTAAACCATATTCTTTATGTTCTCTTGAAACAAGAACATTCCAATTCATTTGAATTACATTTTTAAAACATGCTCTCCATCCTACAAGGAAAAGTCAAAAGATCACAGACAGCAAAGGCTGGGGTCATTTGGGAAATATGAAAATTCGACTACCTACAAGTTCAGTTTATCTGTCTTTCACTAGCTTCAATCATGTGATAGTAGCTCCAACTCATCATTCATCAATTTTCACTCCCTTTAGTTCATGTTATTCTTTTCATTCTTGTCCTACACTTACAAAGAATACAAGAAAAGGTGAAAAGTCCTCTCCTTGGCATGTTTTCTTCAAGTTATCTAGATTTTAACCCCCATGGTGGGCATTTCATGTAGTCTAGTCATCTGCTTATTTTTCTCCATGTAGCAGGTGCTACAGTATTCAACCAAAACAGTGATTACTGAAATAAAATAAGCAACTGCTTACCCGGCTAAAAAAAAGTTAAGATGGCAGAGGAAACAGGTTTAGTCACTTTTAGCCCATATTTGCAAAGGAACTGTAAATTCTTCAATGTACAGAAACTTCCCCTTGACCTGGAATTCAAGTCACTAGAAGGCTTAAGAACCAGAAGCCACATGGCCCTGTGGGTACCAGCTCTTCCACTAACTTCCATTTCTTTTCGGAGATTAACCAGTGTCATTCATTGTAAAACACACAAGTTATTAAGAACAGCTTTTGTGGAATAAAAAGAAAAAAGAAACACTACGTTAAATTTCCATATCAATTGCAAGATCCACTTCAAATTCAGAACCATCCCACAAAGAACCATCTTTAGAAACAAAGACTAAAAGAGTGAAGGGGCTACTGAGGTCCCTCAGCAAAGCTGTCCCTGTGCCCAGGTCCAAAGGGCAGGGCCACCTGAAAATGGTCCCTGGAGCTGTCCAGCAAGCAACCTCAAGCAATCCTGTTGCTGAATCTCAGTTGTGCCATCTGTCAAATGACAGAATTGCACAGTAAGGAGCATTTAACCTTTTTTCTTTGGGAAGGAGGAGCACATCTTCTTTAAGAATGTGGTAATATTTAAAGAATGTCTCTCAGAAACACACTTCCAAGGGATCATAGGCTCTCCAAAGCTTTTCTATGAATCTGGATAAAAAATCTATAAAAGATAAATGTTTGACAGTCAGTTCTAACTTTAACAGTCTCAGAATGATTCTTTGGTTTGTAATCATTCCCCAGAATTGATACAAATATCTTTTTTGTTTTGGTTTGGTTTTTTTCGTTTATTTTTGTTGTTGTTGTTGTTTTGGTTTTTTTGATACTAGGTCTAGCTATGTAGCCCAGGCTGGCCTCAAACTCACAATCCTTCTGCCTCAGAAAGCTGTGATTACAAGGATGTACCACCATATCCTGAATTCTGACCCCTGGGTTCAATTTCTGGTGCAATGCATTTGTCTTGTAAAGTGCCACCAGGGAACATGAATTTTAACAAGCATTACTGATTGTCAGGCTCACTAAACATCTCAAACAACCGTTCTGTGTGACCATGAACTCTTCATCTGCAAAAGTCTTTGCTGAACATCCATCTCCCCACTCCAGATTGTAAGCCCCATGAGGACAAGATTTCCACCTTCCCAGCACCGAGCATAGATAAGAATGTTTACTGACTACATAACTGATCACATTGGTGACCCTGTGACTCCTGAGTCTGCAGTGTCTTGAATTTTAGTCACCAGGGGCTAGTATCATAAATGTTCTTCTTTATCCTGTGTTTATTTGAAAACTGGCAAATTATATAAAAATTAAAAGCTTTAACAGGAATCCTTAATCCATTCTTAACTACTTGGGATAAGCAGGCACTTGCTGCATTACAACTGTTTTCTCCAAAACACATATTCAGTTTTATTAGTGGAATTTGGAGAGAGCCTACCAAGTCAAAACTACATCCAGAAAGAGGCAAAGGGGCAGAAAACCCCATCAAGAGAAAGAGATGGGTGGGATTCCTGGTAAGAACAAAGTCTCCTTCATAGTGGAGGAAGCTAATTAACAGTAGTCAGGAGATAAGTCACCAAAGTTCCTTCACAAACTTGGTTTTTGTAGAGTTCTTGGGTTTTCCCTCAAGGTAAAGGACTTCACTTTAACAAAGCAATAAACCCTCCCAGAATTCATCAGGATAGAGAGGCTCAAGTGAGAAGAGGTAAAGCTCCAGGCACTGCCTGAAATCCACTAATTAATGGTCTTAGAGAATACTAATTCCTATCCATGTTTGAAATGGATTTTTTTTTAAAAAAAATAGGCCCTTGGTCACTTAAGAGTCTACCCCCTTCTTCTATTTTGACAACTTATTTTTTGGATCTCATTAGTTAGTAACTAATTATTTAAAAGTGTGGTTGATGCTTGGAACAGGGCTATGAAAATGGCAACTTGCCAAGGCAGACACCTGCTTCCTGTATATCCCTATAAATTATATCAGTTTATTTTACTGATAAAAAGCACAACATTGTCCCTGTCAGTTATAAAGTGAAAGTTCTAACATTCTGGACACCCACGCCCCAACAAACTGTGCAGAAGAGTCCCTCAATGAGCAGGAAAGGGTTTCTGCTTCTCACAGCTATGGTGGCTTTTCACCGGCCAAGAAGGGGTCTGGAAACTCAGTACTGAGTTGATTCATTAAAGTATCAGATGTAGAAGTGACCAGTAAAAATGCCTGGTGGAATTCAGGCAACCATGGCTCACACCTGTAATCCTAACTATGTGGGGAGGTAGAAATCAGGAGGATGGCGGTTCGAGGCCACCTAGGGCAAATGGTTTGCCAGACCCGATCTCAAAAATACCCAACACAAAAAAGGGCTAGCAGCGTGTTTCAAGTGGTAGCGCACCTGCCTAGTAAGTGTGAAGCCATGAGTTCAAACCCCAGTAACTGCCAAAAAGCCCCCAAAAAACAAAGGATAAAAGCCTTGAAACCTGGAGTTTTTTAATAAAGAATTTAGAACTTAAGTATCAAGAGAAAAAAAGTTCTGCTTCACTTCAAAGACCGCTCTCTAAGGAAAACATGCCACAGTTTTTCAGATGTGAATGAAATGAGACTTCTTCCCCCCGATCTGGTACAGTTTCTTTGCTTAAGACTCCACACTGTCCCCCCTTCGCCCCTTCATGCGACACTGGACCTCAGCTGGCATGCCCCTTGATTTTTCGTGCTCAATGATAAAAGAAAAAGAAAAAGTTTGTGGCTGATGCTTCAGTCCTAGCAGCTTGAGTATATGAAAGAAAAAGAAAAAAGGGGAAGAGAGTGGGGGACCTGCCACCAAGGAAAACTGCTTCATAAACTCTGTGCCTCCTTCCGCCTGAGGTCTCATAGGTAAAAGAGAAGGATGCACATTCCTTCCTGAAAGCTTGTCAGTCAAGGCTTTTCCCATTCAACTACACCTAAACCTTTTGTATTTCCCAGAGGCCAAAACCCTGGGCACAATTAATTCCAGACTCTATTTTTAACAGTAATCCCTCTTCTGCTAGCAACCTGCCTGCAGGTGCTTCTTTTCTTCCTGAATTATAACTCTGCTTTCCTCTATCTAAAAGGAGACCTGGAGCCGCTGACCAGGTGATTGCTGTAGCACAGGTTCGCAATCGCAAATGAGCAAGGAAAAAAAAAAGAGGGGGGGGGAACCATTTACCAAATTCGAGGATTCTTAAGAAGGACCTACATTTTAACAGCACTTTCACACGAAATGCCCCCAAGACCTCTTTGGAGTCAAAGGAAGAGAGGGAGAGGGGCAGCCCCCAAAGCCCCAAAGCAATGGCTCATCTTTACAAAAGGGAGTCGGCATTTGGGATGGTGACTTGGGTCGTGCAGGGGGTTGCGCTCCATTCTGTTTGGCATCGGACACCTCAGGAGGTTGCAAAGCATGCCTTCCACGCCTCTGAGCACTTTCCCCGCGCAACGGCTCAAGTCCCGCCGGCCGTCCATGCCCGCGCGGCGGCGAGGCCAATTCATTAGCAGCGCGGGGCCGTGGGAGCGCCGTGGGTGCACCGCATCCATCATCATTACATCAGCGCGGGAGCCCACGCCGAGCGCTCGGGCCCGCGCCCCCATCAGTGCGCCTGCAACCCCAAGTGCCCGGGTGCCCGGGGCCGAGGAGGTGTCCCAGGCTGTGCTTTGATCCGCATTCCAGAGGCAGCCTCCGGGAGACAATGCCTGTGCGCCAGCCGGGCCGCGGGGTGGAACAGCGCCAGCGGGGTGGCTGTCCCGCCTGCACAGCCTGCAGTCCCTCCGCGGTGCTCAGAAGTAGAGTGCAGCAAGTTACCCTGCTCCTCGGAATGATCGTGAACATCTATCTACAAACTCTCTCCAGTTGGCCCTGCAACACGCTCAGCAGGCAGTTGTAGACTGGGACCCTGGTTGCATTCAGATGGCTGGTGTTAGTCAAATTCAGGGAGATGCAACTTTCCAGGTCCCTGGCAGTGCTGCT